ATGAAATAAAGAATCAGAAGAGGGAGAGAAGGGGGACTTACCTGAAAACCTTAATGCCCTAAGCAAACATGCAGGGTCAAGGCGCCTACACCTTGTGTTAACAACATACCGTCACAAACAGCGCATCATATGCTCTCCCACCACCCGTGTACATACCGACTATGATAAAGCTTGTATACTCTGCGAGCAGTATGCTGATGTCTTCTCTCGTTTGAGCTCTCCATTACAGGTTGGTTGGGTCACAAATATCCAGTGATAGGTCCAGATATGTTGCTTAACAATATTATACATCTTTACCACCATTTTTCACTGCTTATGAGCTTTTACTTTTTAGTAAAATCGTACTTTCAGTCAGGGCGAGTGACCGTTTGAGCGCACTGAGTGACCGTATCTTGCATGCTCCTGGCCGTCGCAATTTGACATTTTGGGACGAATTTCGGTAACGCAAACATTTTTGATTTAGCTTAAAACAAAAGAAAAACAACAACAGCAATACATCAGCCATTTAAACTGATGCTTCGCTGCCATACCACCATGAGGACCTATGAAATAAATAATAAGAAGAGGGAGAGAAGGGGGACTTACCTGAAAACCTTAATGCCCTAAGCAGATATGCAGGGTCAAGACGCCTACACCTTGTGTTAACAACATACCGTCACAAACAGCTGATTGTCATGCAAAGATAAGACGGCATCAGAGAGACAGCTTCCTTGTGACTTTCACTGCCACGCGTCATAATCAGCAGTTGCCCGCAGATAACTCAGCACCAAATACACTTTAAACAGGCAATCCGATTAGGAGACGGCAGCAGACGCGCCACTGGTGTCGGTTTCGAGCTACGTCCTGTGAAATCTTGAGCCAAACACAAGGCGAATCACGTGGACTTCAGCCCGGAAGATCAGACAGACCAACGGCACCCAGTTTGGTCGTCAGTGACTTCATTTCCCGCTGCCAAGTCAACTTCTGTCCACCTCGGGCTTTGCGCCACCCTACACCTGGTAGACTGAACAATGCCCTCCTAGGTAAGCGGTGACCAAATATACGTAGCACGTGCCCAAGCCAACACAACTTATTCAGTGCTATCTGTTGTTCTAGGGAGCTAACATGGTTATCACTATCTAGTACTCGCCTACGCACATCATCGTTGCGGACACGCTGGTGCCATCCGACACCAGCAGTGCTTCGCAGACAACGATGATCAAAGACTTGAAGGCGCTTCAGATCTTCAGACCGAAGGGGCCAAGTTTCACTATCGTAGAGCAGAACGGCCCTCACTGTGGCCTTGTATACACGGCTTTTCAGACGGAGAGAAATTCCCTTCTGTCGCCAAAGATGTCGCGGGTTCAAGAAGGCAGCTCTGGCCTTTGCAATGGTGAGCTGACGTCAGTTTCTATGCGCCCATCGTTGCTGATGCAGCCGCCGAGATAAGTGAATTGATCAACCACTCGAGTTTTTCGTTAGCAAGCGTCAAGGGGTCAACAAGTGGCTGGTGGTCCTGCAGCAACACTTTGAAGGTGCAAAGCGCATACTAAATAATGAGACCGCTTTAGACAGGCTATACAGGGTTGGTTGTGCCATTGCAACATCGTCGAAAAGCAAGACGATATCGTCCACATAATCAGGATCAACTAATGTTTCACCAGGTAGCACTTCAGCGCCTAGATCTTGAGATTCCGCAAGGGAGCACTTCGTGATAGAATCCACGACGAAATTGAACAAAATGGGAAATCGCACAACCACTTGTGGTCGGAAAACTATCCGACAGCTCACCGTAGACCCTGACGCGGCCTGTAGTCGAGTATAGAGCATGAAGGATGTTCACATATTTCGTGGGAACACCTATCGGCACGGGTATTTCGAACAGAATCGATCGACCGACTGAATCGAATGCACTCTTGCAATCAAGGAAACAGTTATTGTCGGTCTGCAGTATGCGTGGTGCTACTCTGGTGTCTGTACAGCCACGTCCTGGGCGGAAACCGGCCTGCTCTTTCATAATCCGAGATTCCCGTTCCAAAGGGAGGCGACAAACAAGAATCGATGCCAGTACTTTTGTTACAACTGGCGTTAGGCTAATACCCCTGTGGTTAGAACAGTCTGTGCGACTGCCCTTCTTGTATATTGCCACTATAATCAATTCACTCCAATTAGCCTGGATACCCTTCCAGATACGTTCGAATAAGGTCAGTGCTTTGCAGAGGACCTCACCTCCATCCTTAAATAGTGCAGGTGGTAGGGAATCCGGGCCAGCGACATGAAAACGTTTGAGGGCTGTGATCGCGTTACGGACCTCGGCCTCGGACGGAGGCTCTAAACTAACCGTCCATTGCTCGTCCTGCGTCATCTGACTAGGAAGATGTCCGGGAGCAGGGGGCCAGCTGCACTGATCATAAGAGTTCCGCCCAACGAGCCATACGGCGCTCCTTATTGTGTATCAGCGCGTCCGCGCTGTCTCTGATTGTCTCACTGACGCCTGGTTTCCTGGGACCAGTGGTGCGGATTAGCTGGGAGAGCTTGCGGTAATTGCCTACTGCTCCTGCCTCCTCCATTTCTTGAGCCCGACTGGTCCACCAGGCTTCCTTGTCAGCACGTAGGCTCTCTTTTAGTTCACGCCTAATATCCCGTCTGGTCACATTGTGTTCAGAGCCAGCCGGGAGGTGTCTTCCAGATTCCAACAGGTTCACCGACCTCTCGGATATCCAGTGACTGGTGCGGCGACGATGGATAGTGCCACAAGCAGATGCTCCTGCGTCGTGCATGGCGGCCGAGATCCTATTCCACTGAAGCTCAGTATCATTAGCACCAGACAGCGAAATTTCGGGTACGCAATGTGCCTTTATAGGCTTTCCTGACGGAGAGCTGAGACAATTGCTCAGTTGCCAATCGTGGGAGACATTTGGTGCGCCTCCTGGTAAGGTTCATGGAAAAACGGCAGCGTACCAAGGCATGATCAGAGTCGACACAAGTACTCCAGTACGAGCGACAATCCAGGATGAAACCACGCTGTGTGTAAGTTATTGCGGGGTGGTCAATTTGGGTCCATCGCTGGCCAGCTACAGGTGGATGCCAAGTGGCACTTTGGTGCCCACTGTGTCTAAAAGCAGTGCTACTAAAAATCTATTGGTGCTCCGCACACAGTTGTAGCAGACGCTCACCGTTGTCAGTCCGTTGGGAGTTAAGCCCATAATTACCACCCAACTGTGCTTCAGAAGAGCTCAGACACCTTACTTGTGCTTTCATATCCCCTGCGAGAACTATAATATCTGAACTAGTAGCACTGCGTAGTAGCGCGTTTAGTTCATCATAAAATGTGTCCTTGATAGCATTAGAACTGCAGTCGGTGAGAGCGTAAGTGGAAATCACAAACAAACGGCGTTTTGTACTACTTCGTGAATCAACCTTAGCTGATGTCGTCAAACAGGCTGCACATAAACGCTTGTTCACCGGAATCCAACCAACTAACAATGGCTCAGTCTTGCAGCTTAGAATGATACCTACACCATGTTAGCCCGTGAGTGCTGCATCGGCGTCTCCTGATGTGTGCAACCAATAACCAGAGGATAAGCCGGGTACAGTTAATTCAACAATCCCATTAGGGTCATTGGTCTTAGTTTCGGACACACAACACACATCGGTACCCAGTGTGTCCAAGGTGGGTGCGAGTGCAGCCTGTTGACCTGTTTGTCTTAGAGTGCGAACGTTGGATGTCGCCATGGAAACGGGACATTGTGGCCTTATAAGGGACTGTTGCTGATAAGCTTCCGGTGCGTATTGCGAGGTTGCTGTAAATGGTTCTACTCCAGTGGCACTTCGGTTGCTGTCAATTAAGCTGGGAATTATAGAAGGAAGGTTAGTGATGGGGGTCAGGATGGGAGTAGGAGAAGCAGGTGGAAAAGAAAGAAGGGAGGCGGCAGCGGTAGCATGTTTTCGCTTATCCGCCCTACTGTATGCAGCAGATAAGGCGACCCTTGATTATCTGCGCGACGGCCGATGCAGGATGATGTTTGAAGGAAATGTCATGGTTGTATGTGGGCTGGGATACTGCCAGGGTGCCCAGACCTAGACAAGAGGACGATTAGGGTTCTCATCCAAAGCCTCTTGCTCAAAAGCCTGCTCACAAGGCAGCGGGGAGGTGGCAGTGATTTAGTTTCACAGAAATGTACGCCATCTCATTTCAAACCCCCAACCTGGAGGATCAGGAGACTGAATTTGTCTGATTTCTCACCATTGACCAACGTGGTAAGAGTAGCTGTCAAGCTGCCCGGAGGCATCACCCAGTATAACTCAATAATGGGTCAATGAGGTACGCAAACCGTTGCATCACGTTAAGGTCCAGTCTCGTTGCGATGATTAAGTGTTTAGTTCTAGGGGATTTCATCCTCCCGGAAGTCTGTTGGTCTGATCTTTCTTGCAAATCGGCGTCAGGAACATTCGGTGCAGGCTTTCTTGAGCTGACTCTCCAATTGACTTTGCAACATCTCGTGGACTTCCCTACTCGGTATATGGACAACCAAATGCCATCTACTTTAATCTGGTTTTCGCTGACTCCATCGACTTCGTGACTGACGTTTCATACGGTGCACGTCTAGGGTCTAGCAATCACGCATACATATCGTTTCGGTGTGCTCTTTTAAAGCACCAACAGACCGCTGTTGATTATTTGGTTTGGCTTAATTGGCATGGTATTACGTAATTACAACTTGGGAATTGGTTTCCGCTTACTGTAGAGAATACTTGTAAGCAGTAAATGCATTCACAGTATATGGTAAGTGTGCGTTGGGAAAGACTTTTTGAGTGGCCGAAATTCGTCCCAAAGTGTCCAATTGGGACGGCCAGGGCTACACAAATCGGTCACTCAGAGAGTTCCAAGTCACTCCGGTGGACACGTTTTGGTCACTCGTGCTATGAGGAGAGGTGTTAGCTAGTCGCAATAAATGTGGTCTTTTACTAGGTTGTTGTGATACGGGCATCCAACCGACTACGAGGTATTTGTTTTGTATTGCAGCCCCCCAGGTCTGTTACGACCAACTTAAACAACGGACACGGAAGCATTTCGAATCCTCCACCGGGCGCATATTACTCAAGTGTTCGATTGATTCAGCACTCCACGTTTCCCACGGTTTTCGCGCCGTTACTCCCCCGATCTTTCGTGGTACTGTGCTTGTTAGAAGTCTACCATACTCATGAATGTCGCAGTTGATCTGGCTTACACTCTTATCCGGGCAGTGGACCCTTTGCTCAAGAACAGCGTACTTCTTTGCCATGGGTTGTTCGGATCGAAACAGAACTGGAAAAGCATGTCTCGTGCATTGCACAAAGATCGCTGCGGCTCGGTAACGGCTATTTCGCAGTTTATCCATGTCTACAGATATGTGCAGTCGACTTAAGAAATCATGGTCTTAGCCCTCGTTCTACCGATATGAGCTTGCTTTCAATGGCCTATGATATCATTAAAGTGGTGAACGATCTGAAGCTACAAGATGTATGCCTTGTCGGACACAGTTTAGGAGGGAAAGCTGCAATGTGTGCTGCGCTTTTAGAGGTAGGTTTCTCTTCACGTTGACCTATTTCAGTCAGCCAAATTTAGTCGCATGATTGTCTTGGACAGCTCCCCCGTTCCAGCTTCACAGCATTCTATCATGCGTTACTTGAAACTAATGTTGAACACTGATCTCTACCGAGCTGAGCGAGAAAGTGATGGAAGCCTTGGTGGAGTGCGTCAATGGTTGTCGGATCATTGGAAAGATCACATACTGGTAAGCTATCTACATGGCAATAAGCAAGGCCACTTTGTCCGAGTTTATTGAGTTTCCGAGGGCGAAAGGAGGTCCCACGTAGCCCCGTCACCTTTAGTTCAAAAAAGAAGCATGTATGTCGTTGCAGCCAGCAGTCCTTCGGGGGGCAATGGCAACAAAACCATACAGTCCTGAGGTTGGACCCAGGTGGGAGTACAACAGCAGCTTGACTACGATCTCTGTAAGAAGTTCCAGTCTTTTACCACCAACATGGATAGAAAGATAACAGAGTGAAATTGGAGCCTCGGTTTAAAGAGGTTCCATTTGTGACATTCGGCAAGACTGGACTTTAACGTGGCGCGACTATTTGCGTGCCTCAGCTATCCACTGAGTTATGCTGCGTGGTGCTTTTGCACGTTCAGAGCTTGTACTTCAAAATCCAACAAGGAATTCCTAGTTTCGTTTGCCACCGATTTCAAGCATCCTTGTTGGTCCACGGCGATCGATCTAACACGGTGATTATTTTGCTCGTGAAAGCATTGTAGATCCTCACGTTCACGTCTTTATCATAAACATCCACGTCCGGTATACTGTTATTTTCGTCCCATAGGATGACAGGATAAGGTCCTTCTTGTTGACCAACCTGGATCAAAGCGGTAAAGACTTTGTTTGGCGTGTGAACCTACCTGTTCTCGAGTCCTGCTGGCATGCCATCATGAAGTTTCCGACGACTGAGTTACAAGGACGGGTCTTTGAGAATCCCGCACTTTTCGTGGCCGGTGGTCGTTCAGATCATTTGAAGTAAGTAGACAACGCGCATGTCATCATTTTACCTATACAAGCTGGGCATCTGATGCTTTGGCATGCTCAACCTCCCATGACCTTACTTTGTAACGTAGTTGCCCCCACTGTGATATGCACTTCCATTCGAAAATGTGAGTCAACTTCGCTCTGATCTTCTCAACGCATTGTTGTAACACACACAAAACCACGTATTTTTAATTTATCAGGACACCGAAACTTTTATTATTGATCAGGCAGATATGTTTTGCGCGGATAGCCTGACATGAAATATCTGCGCAGTTGAATTATTTCCTCCTATCATCATGGCTCATTTTAACATCGTGCACTCGTCTGTCCTTTTGGTCCCCGTCGTGCAGCTGGTCCATCTCGGCGTGACTGGACCTTAACGTAGTGCGACGGCTTGCTTATCTGTGTTACCCATTGAGCTACGTTGAGTAGTATTATCCAGTTGCCTACATAGCCACTCATGCCATACAGGTCATTGGTTAAGCGCCAAACTAACTCTGTAACTGCCTGTGGTTGAACTATTTGAACTCTTACTCGACATCGATTTGCGGTACCAATTTTCATGGTACAATTAGGTGCCTATGCTCATTAGATTAGGCCAATCGAGGATCTTATGTCAACCCTTTGGATCTACTCGTTACGGATCTTCATCCCTAGACAGCATTTTTGATGTGCCTTAGTTAAACTCACGCCCGTGAGAATAACAAGCACGTTTTCGAATACCAATCTGCAAGCTCTCTATATTACTCCCAATCGGTTGCTTTGCAAGGCGATGATTGAAAGAAATCTGCTCCTACCCATACGATAACAGTCGCATTGTTTGCAATTCGCTTCGGTGCAACCTAAGATTCACACCGATATATCGATAAGTCGCTTTCGAATTCGTAATGTCGACTCGTGATTCACCTCGAAACGCGTGATCATTCCACTTACGACCAGCTTGCTCTGATCGTGAGGTCGGACGTTGGATTGACGCGGCGCTTCCGATTCGTTAGTCCGCCAACCAGCCCTATTCGTGGAATGCTGAAAAGGTCAGTCTCTCGCCGTGAAGCATCTTTGCGACCTCAGGAACCACACCGCGCTATATGATTTATCAGATAGTTTGTACACTCCTGTTCTTTTGCAATTACCCAGATTATTCAGTGATATAAGATAGTCTATCAAGTGACTGCCATTAACACTCATGCAATGCGAAGAAGTGCTGTAGCCGCGGAAGGCAATGCTGTTGCAGGCGCAACGGGTTTCAATGAACCTGTGCCCTGTACCACACAAACCGTCCTCTGAGGCACAAGAACAGATAATTGAGTCTGAAAGACCAGTGATTGAGAAATAGGTTTGTATTGGTAACCTTATATCTCCACTGTCTAGTGCTTCATGCTGAGGTTGCTGTTGCATACATCATGCTTCTTCACCGCAGTTGGGCTACACCGACTTACACTTAAACTAACCCCTCTTATTCAGGATAAAAAGTATTCCACTTTCTTTGGTTTGCTGGGTACTGTTATTCTGCTGCACATTCCGTGTTAATTTTGCGTGTTTCTTTTCCTACAAATGCTGTGTTGGTTGTTTGATATCCCTGGTGTGGTTGCGTTTGATGCGAATTTTAACAAAGCGTCTACCTGTCTAACACCCTTCACTTCGATTACTGGCTCCAGGAGACTGAATCGTTACTGGGAGGGAGACGGGGTTCACAGTCCTCGTGGCTGTGCTAGGCTCAAAAAGTGCTTCCATGCATCCAGTGTGGAGCGGACTAGAGTCAAGCCACCGCCTTATGTACGTCTGCTACGCGTGATTCCCTACATAGATACACAGAAATGCTGCTACTGTACATGTTGGAGGAATGTGAGCTGGCTCCGTTGATGAAACGTCGCTCCAAACTACATCTTTTCCTGTTTTATTCCTTCGGGTTTACACTGGACATGGAGTGTGTGGTTAGCGCTGTGGGTAGTGCAACGCAAGCCACCCATGGTCCCTCTGTAGGCACAGGCGTCCGTTGGCTGTCCCCGTAGAGGCCACAGTGACAGGCAAATCCAGAACCGAATGCCGCCAACCTTAACTCTACTGTCAGACAAAATAAAGGCGTTTCTAGAAGCACTTGGTCAAACAAAATGCAAACTTAGTGACGCTTGGTTTATTGGTGGATATCCTTGTACCTGTTTCGTAACTAATTTAGGCCCCGGGCAATTCATAGCTAAAGCACGAAATTAGAGCATTGAACTTCCTAAGTGCAGTTGCTTCTGAGATTACCCAAAGGTGCAGGCGAAGAGAAAATGCCATCGCCTTCAACATACCCGACAATATCTCGATCGACAACATTTGGTATACTGTATCGAGAGCATGCAACATAGCTCAAAACGATATTAGTTGTAGAAGACCAAGCCAACACCTTTACGTTTTCTTTGCCAGTCTGTTCGTCTTCTGTTGCGAAGATCACGCAAGCACGTGTATTAAAGGCCTAAATACTCTTGGGTCTATTCCGAAATTTAGAAGCGTGATTATATTTGAAGACATGGCACGCTTGCTACGTGAGCCTCAACACAGTAGATTTACTGACGTCTTGCTTAAGCTGAAGCTAAATCACACCGGTTGCGCTGTTTTTAAATTGCCAATAAGGGGATCTTGCATGTCCCCCATTAACGACGCAGATGACGTTGACCAATCTGTTGTTGGCCAGGCCATTCTCCAGTTCAACGATGCCAACGGAGTTGACAGCGTTGAGGGAAGTTAAATGCTCACACCACCACACGACCTATGTTTCGTTGACATAGGCTGTCGTGTGGATTTACCCAACGCGCCACCTTATAACAAAGCAGTACAGGCTGGTACCAGTAATATCACTGAGAGACCTTCAAATCCATACGTTGCTGTTTTGATTGAAATATTGTTCTACGCTACTCACTGCGGATATTTCCACTTGTTTCTGCAATTTATTTTCCATTTGATTAAGTGAATCAATTTTAAGTTAGTAATGTTGACTTTGATTTCGCTCCGCGGAATTACCTGAAATTCAACAAATATCAGAAACGCTTGCAAAGGAATTGTCGGCAAAAGTTTGGAGATAACGAAAAACGCTCCGCTGATTGGCAATCTGGACTCAGACGCTGCCCTACCAACAATGCACAAATTCCGCTTCTCCTGTCCATCAATCCTGTCAATCCATCGAGAAAACTAGTGATCTCGTGAGCCTATTACAACGAAGAGAATTCTCGAACGCAGATATATGAAAGTTGGTGACATTTCGACATTGTAGATGGAGTCGTGAAACTCGATGGCTACCGACACATCAGATCCGACCGCCCAGGTAAGCCTCAGCACCGTGAAGCGGGTGTGATCAGGTACTTTAGCGAAGCTTGATGTACAGGGTGTTTTATTACTCTGGTCCGGAGCTAGGAGCGGCTGCACTCTGGTGCTGACATACACCGATACGCTGAATTGCTAACTGCCCAATGGCACAAATTGCTTCATCGACAGGAGACACGATATGTGTGCCTACGATCACAGGGCACACCGAGCCGTTCAGCTGTGAGAGGTGAATGTTAGCACACATCACAGCCGCAATCGACGCTTCATGCGTGGATCGCAGGGCAAGGCCAAGAGAACGCACGCCATTCGACTGTGAGAACTGGACGTGAGCCAGACACCACATAGCTCCACTAAACGTATCATACTTCGATCGACCGGTAGTCGGCCTTCACCCAGGTGAAAAAGGCAACAAAAAGGTTCCCTGTGAAGTGCCTAGTGGGTCGCTGTGCTCGCAACTGAGGAAAACGGCCTGGCCATATGTTGATGACCGGTCGATGGGCGTATAGGACTAGTTAATACTAGTCCGAAACGATGCGCGGAATTAAGCGCGGATATCAGAAGGCAATTGGAGTCGGACACAGCGGACTGTATTCAATGGACTACAACAAGAAGCGGACGGATGAAACGAGGCAAGAGCGTACACGTGAGCACGGGGACTTACGAGGCAGTTGTGTCTCGAGCCGGTTGTAAGATTAAAACAAGATGGAGTAATGTACAATCGGTCAACAAGTAAATTG